TTGAAGGAGAGGCTGAGCTTTTCTGAGAAGTCCAAAAGATCATCAGCACACAGAAAAGTTTCAAGTAAAGAAAAGTATGCTTGTGAGTAAACCAATTTAATTACCTTCCTCCTGACGATAAAAGGGGCATCATCATCATCATGAACATCATCCTCCAGAATGGGAGATGCTGAGACTGGCCGTTTGCGGCTTGGGGCACTCTTGGCTGTAGTAGGCTTGGCAGGGAGAGAAGAAGATGGACGAGCAGACTGTTTAGTGCGACGAGAAGGAGAAGGACTCCGAATGGACAAGGGACTGACTAAAATAGGAGGAGGGGAAGAAATGCTCAACTAGTCTAGTGAATGAAAGGCACGATTGGCGTCAGTCGTAAATAATCCGCGCTTCACTGACGACCGGAGCTGTTCAAAAAAAGGGTGAATGGCGTGGCTAGAATTGAAAGGGGCTAATGAAAAATGGCTGGTTAAAAGAAGATTGAGAGCATTTATAGCCTCCGCCTCCGCCTTATTAATAGTATGAAAACGGTCAATTAAGTTCCTTGAATAGCAAGGAGGAACAGGCCAAGTTTGGTCGAAACCAAGCTGGCGAGCAAAAAATTGGGGAGCATAAATTTTTACCCCCGCCTTGGCATTGGTCCCAGTTAAAATATAATGAAATAGCTCCCTCCCGGTTAAAAACTGGATCCAAATAAGCAGGGAGGTACTCGCGCTGTCTATAGTGGAGGGGGGATGTACATAGTTTGGAGTCAAAAAATGAGAAAAAGAAAAAAAGGAAGAGATTGAATCCAAAGAATAAAAGAATGAAAAAATGTCCCTTCTGGACATATTTACAGGAGCCAAGGGCTCCATGGCTAGCCCATAACAGCTAGCAGAGGAGCAAGAAGTTGATGGAGCACCAAGCAATGGAAAATAGGATCTCAACCACAGTTGAGTGAACCAAAGAGGTCCACTGCCAGTGGGAGATGCACCATTCTTCAATTGAGTTTAAAGAGAGGTCATGCCTCTATAAAGGGCAGCCAAAAACAAAGAACATAAATTCAAAGGCTTGCCACGCGCCAATTCGTGCGCTATAGGTAAGTAACTCAGGGAGGGTTTTATGCTTGGCACACACAAAACATATTTACAAAGCCAAACTAGAAGGAAGGCCACTCGCTCAGTATGGGAAGGCTCAGCGCTCGAATGATTGTGAAGGTTTTGCAGGCTTGAATAAGATTCGGTGTAGTTTTTACCAAACTTTGGGGCGCCACCAGAAACCAAGATACCAGGAAAAATGGTATCGCCCAAAGGTGGTAGATTCACCAGGGCCCCAACATCCCTTAAGGTAATAGACATGGGGCCAAGAGGGAAAATAAAGGTATTATACTCGGAAGACCAAAAACTCAAAGCAATCGAAAAGAGTGCTGAATCAAAAGTAGGGGGCGAATAAAGATTTCTAACAAATCAGAAATCCTAGCGCTATCAAAAAGTACCTTAGTAGGACCCCACCGCCACCTGTTCAACTGCCTCTGCATTGTTGAAGAAAGGACCTAAGTAGAACTCATTGCGTTCAATATCGGCGGGCGCGAGAAAACTCGGAGTTATGTATGGACGACTCAGGAGTTTCTGAAAGTCATCAAAACTAAAGGAGTTGCCAGCTTGAGATTGTGAAGTAGCCATTTGAGATGAAACGAAATTTTTCAAGATTACGTAGCAGGGAAGCAAAAGATGAACAGTAAATCGTGGGAGAGACGCGAAAAATTTGAGGCGTGATTTAATGATGCAATGAAATGGCGTGTTTGGGGGTTATAATGGTTTGCAAAACGACGCACCTTTTCAAGTTATAGAAGAAAACAATGATTGAAATTCTTGAGAATTTCGAATGTTGCTGGAAACACAAAGTGAATATGACAAAATTTAATAATTATTATTAATTCTGCCATATTGGGGGGTAATTGTTGACACATAAAAATTCAGCCCAAATCGAACGGCCCAAGGAGTGAAGCCCAATTGGAAGATCCCCAAATCAGATAGCCCAAAGAACGAAGCCCAATCAAACAAATCAAGATGAAGGCCCAAATAGGGAGGCCCAAGAACGCGGTAACGCCATCGCCCAACCTTGCAAGTCATCCAGAATCTGAGCGAATGGAGTGCCATACAGTCGTCCAGAGCTGTTACTCTATTCTCGCCCAAACCTTCAAGTCGCCCAAGATCTTAACAAACATAAAGTGTCGTGGTTATCAAAAAGTGCAGTTATCAAAGCAGTTATTAAGGTAGTCCTATCACGTTCCACGATTCAAGGAATTCAATCGAAAGCGGTTGAACGACGAAGAGTAATGGCAGCAGTTAAAAAAGACAGTTTTCATGACAAGTTGGCCATTACGAGGAAAGTGGACAGTTATAGGATGATCAAGCAGTTTTTTAGGCGGTTGATCACAAAGAGATCGTCCATGAAGTATAAAAGGGAGAAAAGACATAGAGCAAAGGACCGAATCAAAAACTCTCGAACAGAGAACATGTAATTTTAATTTCCCTAACTTAGACTTAAACACTTTTTTCAGTAACTCGTGTGTTTGCGCCCCTTGGAGGCACTTTGTTTTTAATTTCCAATTATAAAGTCATCGCCAATAAAAGAACACCCATTTTTGGGACTTTGTCTCAAGAGGTTTGTCCCTTACACAATCGTCTGATCCTTTTTAATTGTTAGCGACTAACTCGCGCGAAACAATAATCACACACGTTCATCCATTAACATAGGACTTGAATTCAAATTTGAGTGGAAGTGTCAAAATATAATCGACATGAAAACTAAGAGAACCACTTATAATGACGATCAAGTTGTCTACGCTTAGTTGTAGTAACCCATAACTTGGAGGTGTCGAGCTAGGCCAGGCAAGAATTCATGTCAAGCACGAGTGTGAGACTTGGTGAACAAATCTGCAATTTGAAGTCCTTGCTTAATAAACACCTAGCAAAGATATAGCAAACAAATAAAGTAGCCATATGTTTAAAATGCATTTTTGAACAATAGATTCATAAAGAACGTGTTATTAAAAAATTAAATTTACATGTAATATTGTTTTAGTATAGTTGAAAAGAAGAAATAGAAAAAATATGTAATATTGTTTTAGTATGGTTGAAAAGAAGAAATAGAAAAACATATTTTGAAAAAAAAAAAAAAGAATCTTGATTAACAATGAATGTGTGATTAAAATATAAAAATAAAAAACTTACGTATAATATTATTTTAATACGGTTGAAAAGAAGAAATAAAAAAACATATTTTGAAAAACTAGTCAAAGTTGAACGTGCAATGCACGTTATTTTATAAGTGATATAAAAGTAATATTTAGTACCTATTTATTGGAGGATTTGATGAGTCTCGAATGAATTAAAGAAAATAAAATTTAACATAGAAATTTAATAAAAGAAAATTGTACTCTCAAAACTCAATTTTTATGATTCAAATTTTTTGTAATAATGAAATACTATAAATGAGCAATCTTTTTATATTACATTTGATACATAAAAATTAATTGTTAATACATAGATTTAAGCAACCATTAAAATTTCTAGATACATGAATATGAAAAAATTTATTTATAATAAATCTAGATTCACGTAATTCAAGATTTATCAAGTGAAAATTCATTGAATCTAGATTAATGTTAATGTTAATTAATTGAAAATTAATAATACAAATATAATAAATGAAAATAATTATGTAGTATATATTACATATTGAAAAACAAAAAGTAAGGTTAATTATTGAAATAATTAAACTGTAAAGGATTAAAATCGTCCAAAAAGTTATTCTCCCTTGATTTGATATTTTAATATATTATAGACATGTGAATCTAGAGTGACATCCTTGTATCCTTGTCAAGTTTCTTTTTAAACAATTTTGTAAGATTTACAAAGAGAGATTCGTGACTTCATTACTTGATAAATGATAAATACATAGTCAAGACTCAAGTAATGATTCCCATGTTTGCATTTCTATCGGAAAGGGTTTCCAAACTCCTCGTCCAAGGCCGCTTCATGCCTTGTGTCTGCATGAGGAAATGGATAGGTCAAGCCTACCGCAGGATTAATCTTAGCCCTCTTAAATCCGGTAGTCATCTATAAAACAAGTTTAATCTAATCATCTCTTGAGACACATTAACCTCATGGCATCCAGGGGCAAATCCAGGAGTTTGAATCAGCGCGGAAGGCTGTTGATCATCTACCGTTGACGACAATAAAATATTAAAAGTTCTTTTGATATCCATTTTTTTACAAAAAAAAATACATTTTGAAATGGTGATTTGATGAAGAACGTGTGACTAAAAATAAAGAAAATTTTTGAATTTACGTGTAATATTTTATTGAAGAACGTATGAATGAAAAGAAGAAAGAAAAAATATATTTTTAGAAAAAAGGAATCGAACAAGACCTAAAGTATAAATATAACAATTATTTTGTTTAAATTGAACATATATAATTTTGTTATAAAAATAAATAGAACTCTTCAAATAACATTGTTGCCAAGTTTTGAATTTGAATCTTTAAAATTGTTTACATTAAAACAGTCAAAACACAACAAATATCAATCTTTGCTTGATATCACAGGTTCAAATCCTCATTGTCCCTCTCCTTATTGAATTTTGATAAAAATTATAGAATAAAAATAATACATAACAAATTGAATTTTGATAAAAATTATAGAATAAAAATAATACATAACAAATCCATTGATAATGATTCGAACACGAGACTTGAAGTACTTTAAGACCAGCTCTCATCAAGTAAGCTTTTGAGAAAATAAAATCAATTATCAGAGGAATAAGGTAAAAATTTAATCTATTGTTAACCAAAAAAAAAATTATCCCGACGGATTCAGCTGGGGCAGCGCCACCACCCGATCCGCCACTGCTGGCATCACCTCCTCCTGAAATGAAACCCGTCGGAACAACCTGATCATGTCAAAACGTGTTATTTTTATTTAAATAATTAGTATGATCCAAAAAGTTTTTTAATATAGTAATTCTATTAAATTGTAATAACATTATATTTATCACGAGAAACATATTCAATAAAGCATTTCACAAAAGCAGCAGAGCTTCCATGATGAACCTTTTTATTTTGTAAAAGGAGATGTCCTATTTCCCTACACAAGAACCACAAACATAGTCACACAGTACAACACAACACAGCCATATAAGCGCGGATTAACATAGACCGTTCAACTTTTCACCAAGTGAACCACTTGACAAAACCAAAACCCGATGCAAATTTTCATTTTACTCTTGTTCGACCGCATCACCCTCATCGGTTCCAAGCGAAGTTTTAACTTCATGGCTCCCTTCTCCTCCTCCACTGTGCTCCGCCCCTTTCACCTCAATCACTTTCGGTTTCTTGGGCTCCGGTGGCGGTTTCTTCTCCACGGTCACCGTCAGCACCCCATCTTGACAAACAGCACAAATCTTATCCAAATTCGCATTCTCTGGCAGCACAAACTTCTTCAACAATTTCCCAAACCTCCTCTCCATTCTCACGTACTTCACCCCTTCTTTCTCCTCCTTCTCCTTCTCTCTCTCTCTCCTCCTTTCGCCACTCACCACCAGGACATTGCCGTCCTCTATGTGTACCTTGATTTGATCAACTTTCAGCCCTGGCATATCCACCACAAAATGGTAAGCATTTGGGTATTCTATGATGTCTGCTGGTGTAGCTTTCATGGCCTTTGTGTCCCGAATATACGCCCGCGACGGGTGGTGCGGCTTCTCAGCATCGTCGACAAAGTCCAGCATATCATGGAGCGCTGCCAACACCGGAGCATCAAAACCCAAGTCGCTCAAAACCATTTCCATCGAGAATTTCGCACAGAGAACAAGAAAATTATGGAAGTAGAAAAAGGATATATCAAATTGATCGGAATTATGATGATAATACTGTGTGTATATATAGGTGTCTGGGTGTAGATTAGTTCGAATACTTTAAAAGGGATGAGTGCAAGGTGGCGCAAGGAGGCGTTCATGCATGAAACGTGGTGGTCCTGGTGGAGCTGCGGTGTCCAAGTAGATGTGGCTATTGCATGGCTGTTTGACAACTAGGATTGCTATTCACAGATATTCTCCACGTATGAACAAATGGTTATTGAAGTTCGAGTGAAATTCAAGTTAACCCTTAAATGTTATTTTTGAACGACATTAGTCACTCAAGTTAATAAATAGTAAATACTGCTAATTTGGTCGCTCCGTTTGCAGATAAAATCAATGTTGTGAAACTACAAATTGGAGTAAAATCGATTGTTGGTAGAATGGAGTTCACATTCAGCCAAAAAATTCTACTTTGCAAACTTTAACCAATTTTCACAATTCAAAAAACAATAAAAAAGATCGAGATAAAGATTACACAAGAGGCCAAGTTAGAAGTATCCGCACTTATTTTATATAATAAATTCGAATAGAATGGCTTCACGGAGCATATGTATTGTTAATCTAAATAATAGAGTAATCAACTCGAAATTTTCATCGAACTTTAGCTATTATTTGAGCGTATTTCAGAGTCCGAGTTCTCGAGTGAACTGGACCTAAACCCTCTTCTAACTGTTCATGAACCCTCTAGTTAGGTGCTTGTATCAAGTCTTTTTTTTTTTTTTTTTTTTGGCAATCTGACATGTTGCAACATAAATGGTAATTATTTCTATTGCCCTTGATTGGGGATTAGTTGTAAAAGTTGGGAAGAAGCTGTTAGTGTTTTTGAAGACTCAGCTCTTCGACTATTGTCGTGTCCAGTCATTTCACTAATGTTATTGAATAAGCAATTTTGAGGGGGAATGCAAGAAGTTAAATAAAGACCCTAATCGAAAGCAAGGGATTGTAGTGATCGGGTATAATATTATTTTGTGAAAAATTGTGTTGTTAAAAATAAGAGAGAGAAAGAAGAATGGGAAAGAGAATGGAGGCCAAACGTGACCTTAATTTTAAGGTCTCTAAATCATACTGATCGGCCGAACCATGGATGGAGCCCATTCAATAAGAATGGTCATAGCATCCTCATCTATAACATCATCATGATCAATTGAAAGAATGCTCCGCACTAAAGTCAATATCCCTATGGTGCTCAATCAAAAGTGAAGAAGTATTACCCAAAAAATAAAAAGTGGAGAAGTATCACCTATGATGTCAACATCGCCATGTCGAGCAATTAAAAAAAATAATTATTGTTTAAAAAATTTACATTCCAACAATACTCTTTAGTTTGATTCTTCTTCATTTTACCTTTTTAATTAATATATATATATTTATTGTTATTTCACCCATCTTTTATTTAATATATATGTTTTACAATCAAATATATTACTTCATAATCACGAAAAATAAGTATTGAAATATACAATTCATTAAATAGGCATAATATAAATACAAATAAAGAGTAATATTGAAAGTCAAATTCACCTTCTATTTTAAGAAGATAGATCGTGTTGAAACTTTTATTTATGCATCCACTATTCACAATAAAGAACATTGTACGTGTTCAAACTCAAGGAGCTTAGCCCCCGTTTGACCCCCCATTCTTTTCAAATTTTAATGGTTGGGATAGTATTTTTTTGAAAAATTTGATTGAAAAAGAATGAAATTTTTTTTATTTGCATATAATATTATTTTGTGGAAAATTGTATTGTTTAAAATAAGAAAGAGAAAAAAAATGAAAAAGAGAATGAGGGCCAGACGGGACGTTAATTTTAATTTTAAGGCTCTAAATCATAGTGATAGGTCGGACCATGGATGGAGCCCATTCAATAAGAATGGTCATAGCATCCTCATCTATAACATCATCATGATCAATTGAAAGAATGCTCCCCACTAAAGTCAATATCTCTGTAGTGCTCAATCAAAAGTGGAGAAGTATTACCCCAAAAAAAAAAAAAAAAAAAAAGAAGTGGAGAGGTATCACCTATGATGTCAACATCGCCATGTCGATCAATTAAAAAAAGTAATTATTGTTTAAGCAGCAGACAATAATGCTCTAAGTTACATGTTATTGCCTAAATGTAATAATGGTCAACTTGCCGAACTCATGATCCAATCAAATATTTTCAAATAGATCGATGACATGAATCAAAGTTTGAAATTGTAGCTTGACAGTACAAAGGGTAGCAAACTCCTTTTGAAATGCTTATAAATGAGGACAATTATCCCCTAAAAGAGGACGAGCTAAGCAATCTTCTATAATACACTACAAAAATACCTTTTTATATATTCCTTTCTCCCCATTCTAGCAAATTAAGCACTATTATTACTCTGTAAAATTTCTCTTAAGTTGGTTTATAATTGTCACGTAATTTAGTCATCAACAAACATATGACTTGTATATAATCTTTTGGAAATGTTCTAATGTAGAGTGTGTGTGTGTGTATGTGTGTGTGTGTATATATATGTGTGTATGTATGTATGTATGTATGTATATATGTGTGCAAGATGAAATTTCTCCCCTGTTTGGTATAGCTAAAAATCAATTTTTAGTAAAAGTTGATAAAATGTGTTGTTAATAATAAATTTGAATAAAAATGAGTTATTTTATTTTATTTTTTTGAATGTAGATGGACCTCAAACTGACATGATACTTATGCACAAGGACTAGACATTTAGTATTTTTATTAAATCATGGTTAACATACGATTTTGACATACAACATACGAAAGAGAATTTCCTTGAAATTTTGCCAAACATGAATATGAAATTAATGGGTGTATTTCATTGAGACTTTTAAAACTCTAAAGACTTTTAAGGATTTATAAAACTTAGGATCGTTTAATATAGGCCTTTTAAGACTCTTTCAAAGTATTTGTGTATTAAATAGAGATTTTTGTAAACTAAAAGTCTCGATTTATTCAATTAATACTTTACAAGTCTTTATAAATCATGTGGTATTCAAAATGTCAATGACTTAAAATTACTTTTATAAAAGTCTTTAGAGTTCTAAATNCGGACGAAGAATTGAGCGTAACTTTTGCACACGGTGTCCGTTTTGGGCCTACAAGAACTTTTTGGAAATGTAGCGACCGTTTTTGATTGAACTCACCACCTCGTCATGACGTATGAGGGATTTCGACCATTTTTCGAAAGAATGAACACTTGAATTTTTGGAACGCTTGGATTGTCGGCGTACGAAGAATTGAGATTAACTTTTCCACACGGTGTCCGTTTTGGGCCCATAAGTACTTTTTGGAAATATAGCGACCGTTTTGGATTGAACTCACCACTTCATCGTGACGTTTAAGGGATTTTGGCCATTTTTTGAAAGAATGAGCACTTGTATATTTTGAACGCTTGGAGAGTCGGTTGATGAAGAATTGAGCGTAACTTTTGCACACGGTGTCCGTTTTAGGCCCATAAGTACTTTTTTGAATTGTAGCGTCCGTTTTGGATTGCACACAACTTCGTCATGATGTACGAGGGATTTTGGCAATTTTTCGAAAGAATGAGCACTTGCATATTTAGAATGCTTGGAGAGTCGGGGGACGAAGAATTGAGCGTAACTTTTGCACACGGTGTCTGTTTTGGGCCCATAAGTACTTTTTGGAAATGTAGCGACCGTTTTGGATTGAACACACAACATTATCGTGACGTAGGAGGGATTTTGGCCATTTTTCGAAAGAATGAGCACTTGCATATTTAGAACGCTTTGAGAGTCGGCGGATGAAGAATTGAGCGTAACTTTTTCACACGGTGTCCATTTTGGGCCCACAAGAACTTTTCGAAAATGTAGCGACCAATTTGGATTGACCTCACCACCTCGTAGTGATGTATGAGGGATTTCGGCCATTTTTCAAAAGAATGAGCACTTGCTTTTTTGGAACGCTTGAATTGTCGGCGTACGAAGAATTGAGCGTAACTTTTGCACACGGTGTCCGTTTTGGGCCCATAAGTACTTTTTGGAAATGTAGCGACCTTTTTCGATTGAACTAACCACTTCGTCGTGACGTACGAGGGATTTTGGCCCTTTTTCAAAAGAATGAGCACTTGTATATTTAGAACGCTTGGAGAGTCGGCTGACAAAGAATTGAGCGTAACTTTTGCACACGGTGTCCGATTTGGGACCATGAGAACTTTTTGGAAATGTAACGACCATTATGGGTTGAACTATCCACTTCATCGTGACGTACGAGGGATTTTGGCCATTTTTCGAAGGAATGAGTGCTTGTATATTTAGAACGCTTGGAGAGTCGGCTGATAAGGAATTGAGCGTAACTTTGGCACACGGTGTCCGTTTT